AAGAAACTTAGAAAAAAATTCAATTTAAAATTAACAAAGTTAATTATACAAATGTCATTAAAACAAAATTTTTTCAAAAAAAAAAGAAAGAAAACGATTAGAAAATATATTTTTTATGTTTTAATATATATAATAAAACTAATTAAAAAAAAATCGAATTTTTTCATAATTTGAGTTTTGAGTATTAAATCATTCAGATTGTTTAGTTTAATATTATTTTAAATCTTTCGAACAATGTTTCCAACTTAATTTGCTTCTTGAAGAATTCACTATATCTTTGTTTTCGTTTAATTGGATAAAATAAGAATATTTAAAGTAACATCAATAAATTTACAAATTTATTATTTTAGGATTTTTGTTGGTTTTAGATCAGTCAAAATATCGTTGGAATTTTTCAACGGATAGGGTAATAATAATAGAATATTCTAATAATTCATTAAATTTACACAGCATTCAATCATTTTTGTAACCACGTCATTGAAATAATATAACTTTTTAATTAAAGTACAAAGAAGATAAAATTAGTTTTTAATGACATTAAAAAAAATTATTGATTTTTGATTTTGACAAATTTTGACGTATAGAAATAAAAAAAACTAACAAAATACGAAAGAAAAATTCATTTTATAAATACCTTTTTCTTTTGAAAACTAATATTACAATTTAAAAAATATTAAATGGCAACATTAAAACAGCAACTCGCTCGTAACTCCTTTCAAAAAGCCACCTGTAAATCTATTGTTCCTCCTCTTTATACCAATTTATCTAGTGCTCAATCTTTGCCAAGCCTTGGAAGTTTATCTTCTCCTATTCATTCTCCTTATTACTCAAAGAGTTCTCGTTCATGTCAACAAACTCCAAGAACTGTAACATTTTCCAGCCAAGAAAGTCAACGAACCCCATTTATAACAACTCCAAATCAACATACAAATTGTTCTTTACGTAAAATTCCTTCAAAATTATCAAAAGTGTGTAAGCTCTTTTATAATGATGATAAACGGAAAAGACAACCTACTAATAATGAAACTGAAATATTTCAAGTATGGAAAGATATACTTATAGATATTAAGAAAGATGGAAAAAGTAAAAAATGGAGACAAACATGGAAAAATAATAATTTGGTTCTATTTGAAGATTTTATAATAAGTGATTTAAAATTTATTAGAGAGTATGTTTGGTGTCTTCCAAGAATTAAAAGAGAAGTATTGACTTGTCTTGTTAATTGTGTCCAACTTGGGTATGTTGATGACTTTCTATTTCAATATTGTTTATTGAATAATCAAAGTTTTAAAGAAGCTCTATCTTTTATTCAAACTTTACTTGACAATGCAGAATATATTTTTGATTCTAATGGAGATCCTTGTTATAATGAAGATGGTCTTATCATTCATATATCTCCAAAAAAACTCTTTTCAGTTTGTCTCCATGAGGTATTAGGAAATGACGATTTAATTACTTTTTTTACTGAATCCTATCCATTTTTCAGTGATTCATTTACTATTCTTCGTTGGTGTTTTGAATACCATAAAAAAATTAAAAAAGCTTTTTTAAATCAAAAAACTAATACAGAAAATTGTATGGAATTGATGAGACTAGAAAAAATTATTATTGGGGTTCTATTAAAGAAAGATTCTTTGGATGAAGAAATTATTAATGAAATAAAACATTATTTCTGTACGGGAATGTATTCAACTTCTTTCACTATGTCAGTTATGGAAATATTAAACAATAAAGTTGTTAATGAAACAAAAAAGGTTTCTTCAACCATCCCTTCTTCAAAGGAAGAGAAGAAACAGAAAAAATGTAAATCATATAATGAAAGAAGAACTGAATATATAGAAAACATCAACGAAGTTCAAGATGTAAATCGTGAAAATCTTTTCACTATTCATCCTTTAATTGTAGCCCAACAATTAATTTTCTTCGACTATTCAATGTTTAAAGTAATCCAACCTATCCAATTCTATCATTATGACAACTGTTGTATTAACAAATATATCTCAAAACTATCTGGCATAAAATGTCTTATTAAAAGACATACTACCTCTCCTGAGACTCTTTCTTTCTTTTTAGAAGTTGCTAAATTTTGTATTGCTCTTAATGATTTTAATATGGGATATATTATATTGGAAGAACTCTTACTTTTAACAAAAACAAATAAAGACTTATCTCAACTATTATCTCAAGAAGTTGAACAACAATTAACAAATAGCTTTTCTTTATTCTCCCCTGTGAAACGATATGACAATTATAAAAATGCAATTTACTCTTTACTTTCAACAGAAAGCTTTATTCCGTGCATCTTTATCCTTGAAAAACAATTGAAAAAACTTAACAAAAAACCACTCGTTGAAAATAATCTCCTCAACATTGCATCCATCAAAGAACATTACCAAGTCATTCAACTTTTTATTTATGCTTTAAAAAACCCTTACCAATTAGAACAAAATGTGTCGTTTCAATTTTTCTTTCATTCCATGTGTAATTAACAATCTTTCATTACAATTTAACTATTTTAAACTTATCTTATTATTACATTCATAATTTTTTTTAAACCAGAACAACAATTCATTTAATTGTGTGTAATTGTCAAGGACTGATTGATTAATTATTAAATAGAACTGAAATAATACCAACAAAAAAATAAAGTGAAAACTAAAAATGTATTTAAAAAACATAACATAATTAAGTAGACTTTCAAGGACATCAATAAAAAGTTACTACAAAATCTGGTTCTCTTAAACAAGAACACAAAATACACCGCATTGAAAAGTTATTACTCTTCTTATATGGGTAACAACCAGAAAAACAAAAAGAAGTGAAGGAACACTAAAAAACATAATTAAAATAATAAGTCAATTCTTACCTAACTAGCAGAAAGAAGGGAAATAACGAAGAAGAAGAGAAGAAGACCAATGTAAAGAGTGTTTAGAATAAAGGAAAAGAGAAGAAAGAGAAGGGAGAGGAGAGATAGGAAGAGAAGGAGAAAGAAGAACGTTTGGAGAAGAGAATTGAGAAAGAATTAAAGGGTTAGGGAAATGAGGGGGAAGATGAAGAGAAGATAGGATAGAAGAGAGATGAGGAGGAGGAGAAGAAAGAAGGGAGGGATTGAGGAAGTCATTGATTGTATGAAAAGAATTGATGATTTTTTTAGCAGAGATTGGACCGATGTTAGGAATGCCATTAGAATAGTCAGAAGGAACAAGAAGAGAATAAAGTCTAATTTGGTCAAGAGAATAGTCGAAAGTTGAAGAAGAATATAAAAGAGGATGAGAAGAAGTGAATAAGTTTTTGATAACATTTTTAGCACCATAAACAAAGATATCACTATCATTTGTTGCTATATAATCACATAATCCATCATGTTCAAGTTGATAACATTGAGCTTCAGCTTCACCTGGTGCAATTATATATGGAATGTTAATTTCTTTAAACATTTTAATAAGTTTTTGATAAATAACTTGATTCTTAATAATTCCATTACTAATACAATTAAAATTTTCTTTTTCTTTCTTTTCTTTATTATTAATTTCTTTTATTTCTTCTTCTTTTATGTTAATTATTTCTTTTATTTCTTCTTCTTCTTTTTCTTTGTTAATATCATTAATATCATCTTTATTAATATCATTAATATGATCTTTATTAATTATTTCATATATTTCTTCTTTTTCTTTCATTTGATTGTTTGTTTCTTCTTTGGAAATATGTTCTTCTTGTTTTGTTTCTTCTTTTATATTGATACAACACTTTTGTTTTTCTTTCTTTTCTTCTTTCATACGATTAATTATCTCTTCTATTTCTTGAATGATTTCTTCTTCTTGCTTTTCTTTGTTTATTTCTTCTATCTTTATTTTGTTTATTTCTTCTATCTTCACTTCTTTAGTGTCAATTTGTTTGTTTGTTCTTTCTTCTTTATTTTCTTTAGTTTTATTTCTTTCTTTTTCTATGTCATTGTTTATATTGTAATTTCTATCATTGTTGATGTTTTGTTGAAAACAATAAGATGGTTGAATGGATGTGGAATTGTTGATCCAATCTGTTGTTGTTGTGTCTTTGTCCAATTGAGGAATGAGTGGAAGAAAAGATGTTATCTCGTCTGTTCCATCTTCTCTTCTTGTGTTTTCATTTCTTCTATTTTCTTTCCTTCTTTTTTCATCATCATAATCATCGTGTTTTATCTTTTCGTCATCATAATCATCACAATCATTGTAGTCATCATAGTTATAACCACAGTTATTATAACAATCATAATCATAATTTATAGAATTAGCAGTATTGGGAAGAGTTGTGTGAGATGAAAGGATAGATTGATAAGGAGAAATAGAAAGAGGAGAAGAAGTTGAACCAATTGAATCAATTGACTCAAATGAATCAATTGAAGAAAGGAAAGGAGGAATAGAAGAATCAGAAAGAGGAATAGAAGAAAGAGAAGAAAGAAAAGAATTGATTAAAGAAGAATAAAGAGAAAAAGAAAGAGCACCAAGACCCCAAAGAGAAAGATCAGAAGATAAAAGAGAAGAATGATGAGGAGAATTAATAGAATAAGAATATCTATTATAAAAACCATGTATAATTCTATGATTAATTTGAGTATGAGTAAAAAGAAAAGGAGAAGAAGAAGAATCAAGAAGAGAATCAGAATAAATTCGTTTAATAGAATTTAAATTAGAATTAATATTTTGAATTAATGATATATTTGGAGTAAGTTTGTATTCATCTTGTTTATCTTTTTTAATAAGTAAAAGAAGTTCTTCTTCATTATTATTATTATTTGTATTATTATTTTCTATATGTTCTTTCTTTCTTTTTTGAATTGATGTTATTAATTTATTTATTTCTTTCTTTTCTATTTCTTTCTTTCTTTCTTCTTCTTTATTATATCTTTTTATCCTTTTTTTGATTGTGTTTTCTTTTAAATATGTTTGTGTTTTCCCATCAAATACAAATATTGGATAAATCCCTTTTTCTTTACTTTTGATTATTATTTTCATCATCATCGTATTCACATCTTCTTTCTTTTTCATACATCTAATTATTATCTCACTTATATCTATCGCAACTCTTTTCCCTTTAATCTCTTCCTCTTCTATCTCTTTCCCTTTCTCTTTTATCATTTCCCACATTCCTTTAATCCCCATTTCTTTCTTTTTAGTTCTTTCTTCTTTCTTTTTCCTTTTTCCTTTTTTTTCCTTTAATTGTTTTTTGTTTTTATTTTAATAATTTTGTTGTAAATCACCACAAAATATTTATAAAAATTACAATGATTAATTTAAATAATTATCTAAAAAGAAGCAACATCAATAAGGAAAAATAAATAAAGTATTATTTAATATTGAATGTAATGAATTTTGTGAGTATTGTTAAAAAATAATGTACCCTCTTTGAAATGTTTAAGAAAACAAGAAATAGAAGATGTTAAATATATGATAAGAGAATGGTATTATATTTGATAAATCAAATGAATAATTTATTCAATTAGAAAAGAACATTATTATACAGAAAAGAAATTAATGAAATGTACAATAAACATTCATTAAAAGATAAAAAGAAATAATATATAAATAAGAAGAAAAAGTAGAATCTACCTGAGAAATATGATATAGAAATAAAAGAAATAGAAAAATAAAACAATGAATGAAGAAAAGACAAATGATAGTAAAGATAAAATGAATAAAAAGAAACAATAAATAAAAATAGAATACAAAAGTAGAAGAAACTATAAAAGAAAAAAATATATAATAAGAATATACAAGAATGGATAAATGGAAATAATAAATACAATAATAAAAGAAATGAAAGACAGTATTAACACTTCTGTTCATATAAAGTAATGAAATAAAAAATAAATTTAATAAACAAATAATATTAATGATGAAAAAATGAAAAATATATAAAATAATGAAATAAAATATTTAAATTAATATAATGAAATATATAAAGAGTGTTGTAATGAATTAAATTTAATTCTTCATCAAATTAATCATTTTATTAACAACATAAAACTGATGAAATCAATATTAATAGAAGAAAAATAGAAATTAAATTAATGGAGAATGCTATTAAAACACAAATAAAGAATGATAATATAAATACACAAGAAAAAAATTATTCATAAAATTCAATATGATATAGTATTAGAAATAATTATAACATAAAACAATACATAAATATTTATACAATAGATAGAACATAAACAACAAAAATGAAATAACTAGAAATAATATTTATGAACAATAAAACCAAATTAATATCTAATTAATGAATTGAACACAAACAACATTGAATCAATTAATAATAATACAATAAATGAATGATAACACAAATAATAATAGAAGAAATATTAAATAAATAAACCATTAATATATAATGATTATGTAATTAATTATATAAAATATTAAATACTCAAGATGATTTTGTTTTATTAAACAAATAAATTTAATTATAATTATAAATGTCATCTAGAATTAATGAATTTGCTCTATATAATAATGAAATTACACAATTAAATTAAAAGAAATATATGTAATGAATTTAAAAATGAAATAAATAATAATAAATAAAATAGAGAGTCATAATATTGAGAAGAATATATAGAAAAAGAAATAATAAAGATAATAAAAAGAAAATAGAAGAGAAAATAGATAAAATCTATAATATAATATCAAAATCGAAGAATGGTAAATGAAACAAACAATGAACATGCGTCTCACTATATTAAATGAAATTAAAAATTATAATTATTCATTTACATCAACAATTAAACAAATAATAGAATAAAATATTAATAAAAGAAAAGAAAATTTATAGATAAAAAATATCAAAATAAATAATATCAAACATTTATCAAATAACAATGAATATACAAAAATTAAACAAATATTATATACAAAAAAGGAATAATGAAAATAAAATAAAAACACGAGAAAGGACTAATAACATTAATTAATATTAATAGTTGAAATAGAATATATAAAAGAATATAAGAAAAGAAATAGAATTATTATAAATGAAATATATGAAAACAAAATCATAAACAATAAATAATAGAACTTCCAAAAAAAATAAAATATATTATCATTATAAAAAAAATATAAGAGAAATAAGAAATAAATAATATAAAGGAACAGTTAATAGAAGAGATAACACAGATATGAATATAAATAAAGAAATAAGTAAATTAACAGATGAAAAATAGAGTGCATAACCAAATGAGCAAAAAGTTGAAAATTCCAGGAATAGATTTAATTGAAAGATTTTTGATAAACTACCTTATATTAATAAAAGAATAAATAAAGAATTGATTAAATAATAATTAAATATACAAAACGAAATTCTAAATTGAATGAATATATTAATATATAAAATGAGACAAATTAAATCATAATAATTATACATATTATATGGTTAAGTTATGTATTAAAGTATTTATCACATTTATTAAATATAAAATTGAATAACACTTATTAATGAATAATAAAAAAAATAACACATCAGAAATTTAAGATATTCTCATATCAATATAAAGAATGATTAATTGAAAGTACATTATTACAAACAAATAGTATTAGAATTTTAATTAACAGAAATGTTTAATAATATCAGGAAACCATGTGATAATGTAAATCAATTTTAGATAATAAAATGATTAAAATGTTATAATAATAATCAAGAAGAAATATTTGAAAATATAAAATATATGATGAATTGAAAATACAACTATTATAATTCCAATAACATAAATAATGATATGAATATTGAAATATGAATACTCAACTGAGATATCTTTTCTCATATTCATAATTTCTAATGACTGTATATCAATACATTTAATGAGAATAATTCAAAAAGTAATTATATTAATCAATAATACAATATAGAAATAAACATTTAATTTATATTAATGATTTAAAATAATTACAAATTCAAATGAAGATATGATAATTACAAATAACATAATAATAATATTATTATTATTTAAAACAATTAACAAGAAAATAAATAATGATAAATGAAAATATACAAGAAGAAATAAGAAATAATACACAATTAAGTGATATTAAACAATACATTCCTATGAATAAAATTAGTGCATAAATTAAATAAAGAAAAATAAAATGGAAGAATAATTAGATGAAATACATATTAATAAATAATATAACAACAACACAAAACAATAGTATTAATATGATACTATGTTAAATATTGATGATGTATCAATAAATTAAATATTAATTTTATATAATAACCTTGATATTATGTGAAATAGAACTAATTGAAATACATTTAAGGAAAGTATTTTATTTAAATCCATATATTCTAAATTATAACAAGAGATAAATTATATACATCATGACATTGATATTGAATATAATTAGAGTTGAAGAGATGAAAGTAGAAAAGAATTAATTAAAATATAAATGAAATTTGAATGAAAACTAACAACACAAGAAATAAATAAATTAATAGAATTAAAGAATGAATATCAAGAATGAATAATAATAAAAAGAATTTTTTTATAAAGAAAAATAATAGAGAGAATAAAAGAAATAATAAAAAGAAGTATAAAAGAAATGATAAAAGAAATGATAAAAGAAATGATAAAAGAAAATAAAAGAATAATATCATAATAAATAGATGAAAAATAAATCATTAGATTTTACAAACATATAAAAGAATGAACATATTATAATAATTAAAAAATATTGAAATCATTAAAAAATAAATTGAATGAATATATCCAAATATTAATAATATATGAAAACTTATTAATAAACGGATCAAGAAAACTAGATATAACACATAATGAAAATACAAAATAATGTACATATTGTATAAATAATATAACGTCTATATATATATTGTTAGTATATAGAATGAGAAAGAACAGAAAATTGATAATACAAATATGTAAATGAAGAAACATTTAAATCAATAACTAGTAAATAACATAAATAATTATACAATATACAATTTTTACTTCATTATATAACATCAACACACTGTTTAATTATAATTACTTATAACAAATACTTATTAACATGAGATGATATTAAATTAATATTTGAAATAATATATATCTTCAATATAATAAACAAAATAAAAACACATAATAATTAATATAACTAATATAAAATGAAAATAATAACAACTATTTAAAAAAGTAAATACAAAGTATTACAAAATAATGAATATAAAGATGAGGTAATTAGAAATCATTCAAATTGTGATATATAATGATTGATTTAAACATAATTTATCAACAAAATATAAAATAATTAGAAAATGATATAGATATACAACAATAATAATGACATTACGAATTAAACAAGTGAAAGATAATATATATTAATTATATAACAATGGTTGCTGTAATGATGTAAACTCACATCACATCAATTAAATACTCTAATACTACAGAGAGTGATGTTGAATATAAAAATAATTATAATTATGTAACTTCCCAAAACAATAAAAGCATGAATAAACAAATAAATATCATTGTTTAGATTATTTTTTTTAATAATGTTATTCTATGAAACATCCAGTTTTATTTGTTATTTCTTAGATTGGATAATAGTATTTCATCATTTTCATTATATTTCATATACTTGCTTCATTTTTTATTATAAGTTAATTTCTTTTCATTTTTGACTTGTTCTTCTTTGTTTGATTTCTTAATTTCAATTTTTATTTGTTATTTTATGTTGTTCAATTTGTTTTGTGATAATGTTAATGTTAGTAATAAATGCCCATTAACATGGATATTTACTTCAAATACAAATGTTTACAATATGAATTAAAAATAAAAACCAAAAAATATTATTTGATTTCTTTTAAAAATTAGTTAAAGTTAAAAATTAAAGAATACTTGGTTGAGTAGAAGGATGGTTATCATTTTGGTCTTTCTTTTCTGTTGGTGGTTCGATATCTATTAACTTTGCTCCTTTTTCTTCTTGATTTTCTTCATTTCCTTCTTCAATATCAAAACCAGTCTTAGAAACAAGAGCAGCAAATTCTGGACATGTCTTTTTCAATTCTTCAGGTGCTCCAAATCCAAGCACACGTCCTTTTTCTAACATTAAAATCTTGTCACAAGTTAAGATAGTGTGTAAACGATGAGCAATCATGAACATAGTAC